TCCGTAGGGTCTTTCCGATAAGTCCGTAGGGTCTTTCCGATAAGTCCGTAGGGTCTCGTCTGATAAGTCCGTAGGGTCTCGTCCGATAAGTCTGTAGAGCGTGTTTTATTAGGCCTCGTAGAAGAGTCTCGTAAACAAGCCTCGTTAAAAAGCCTCGTAATCGAGTTTCTTGTATTAACAAACTTTTCTATTTTATTGAAAAATTAGTATAAATTTCCTAAATACGCAAACATTTTTTTTGTAAAATTTTGCAGACAATACAATTATTTTAATCTATATATTTCATAATTATTAATAAGAATAATATTTACGAAATAAATAATTTAATATTAATTTTTCAATAAAATAGAAACATTTTTAAATAGAAAAGAAATGATACGTTTGGTAAAAAAAAACATACCACGCACCTTCTTTGTTTATGTCGACAGTCGGTTCGTTTGGACCTTATACTTTTGTCGCATACCTACGTGCTTATCTCTGCTTATTCTTTTACCCTTCTATCGCTCCTACCTACAAACATTGCGAGTATCGAAAGAATATGTGTGTTTACGCTTTGTAGTATGCAGTCGCACTCAAACACACACATATACAACCAGGAGCGATAACTACGAAGCATAGCATAAAGAGGAGACCGAGAATAGGAAAAACTGTATAGCTATATTCCGTCTCATTCCCTCGCAGTCTAAATCCTATGTTTGTCTCTTTTTCTCTCATTATTTAGTATGGCAACCGTTTCATAGCTTCGTTACATAGCTCCGTTTCCGTTTATTTACTTTTCAGATCACTCCCATTTTAAAGAAGTTTTCACTTCAAAAAGAAAGAGAAAGATAGAAAGATGTAAGCCTCGTCTCGTAAAGTTAATTCTTTTTTTAAAATATGACAGAAATACGTTAGTTGTAGACGTATAATCTGCTTAAGCTCGAAGTAATATGAAGAGGAATGGGGTAGGGGCAAGGAGGTTGGTGGGTATGGAAAAGAGAACTCAAGAAAAAGGCGGGGTAAAAGGGAGGAGATGAGAATTTGGGGTGAGTATGATGTAACTTCTTACTCTCTGACGTAAGTCGGATGAAAACTTTGGAAAAAGTAGTAACTACGACAAGTAACTACTGTGGGTAAAAAACTTTTTTACCACCCACCGGTGTAGGGTGGAGTCAGCCCTTACGTCGATCGGTATCCTTCTTTATTTTTACACAAGACAAATATGACGAAGAAAAACAAAAGAATGAATTGAAAAAAAAATTTTCAAAATATATTAATATTTATTAAAATAAAATATCAATCCATCAATTTTGTTGTTGAAATATTTCTCTACTTTTTTATAATTATTTTTGTATTTTTTATAAAATTCGATAGCAAATACTACGTCAAAAAAATGTAATCTGCAATTAAAGAAAATTGTTATATGATGATAAAAGTATTGATATTAATAAAAATAATAATAGTAAAAAATTAGCACGAATTATTCTGCAATTAAAGAAAATTATTATGACGATAATAGTATTAATATTAATAATAATAATAATAAAAAATCACTAACCGTGGACGTCGAGATGGAACCAGGTACCATTCTTGTCACTGTTAGGCGACCTGTTGAGGAAGACGACCTTGCACTCGTACCAGCCTTGATCGCTCTCACGGATGTTTGTAAGGTTTAGGCTGGCCATTCCGTAATTCGAATTTGGGCTCACTCTCGAGACGCGACCTTCGTACCCTTCGCCACTGTGGGTTGGATACGTCTCGTACCATATGTATATCGGTATCTCCTGCCCCTTGCACCAACACCAACACGCAACATAAACGAGGGATCGCAATGTACGCGAGATTACCGATGCGAGTTTTTTTTATTCAACAGATTTTATATTTTTCTTTCTATTTCTTATCATTCGAATTTTACAATTCAATTTGATTTATTCTTTCAATTAGTTTGTATTTTTTTTTATTTATAATCACTCGCATCGGTTGAATAAATTATGAAACGATGACATATGAACGAAAAGAAGATAATGCAGCGATAAAGACGAAGGTAAAGTTTGATTTTTTTTTTTTTAATAAATTTCTCCTATTATCGGAGAACGGGCACGATGGATGTGCGACTAAAAGCAAAATTTGTATTAAATTCTTCTCATTTTCAATCAAATTTTTAATTTTAATTTTTTTTTGTACATTTTCATGTCTTTTTTAATTAACATTTTTGAATCCATCATGCCAGGTAAATTGATATTAACAATGAAATTCCCGTCACATGCATTGAGCAACTTATGAATGAAATAAAATCAGGGTGCAAATTAATATTTCTAAAGTACAACAACAAAAAAATACAAAAAGTAGAGAAAAGAAAGATGTAAAATAGACGATGAAAGAAGATAAAAAATAAAAAAAAGAATCGATGATAATATAGAACGTGGTTCGTTTACTTGATCAACGATAAAAAAAAAAGATACATGCAACTATAGTTTTCGTGCTAGTGATGTTTACTGAAAAACGTTTTTCCTAGGATCTTCCGTTAGAAAATGCAAGCGCAGTTTCGGATTACCAGAGGACTCTCCGATGTCGCTCGTTTTTGTCTCAAGGATAGTAACACAGTGTGATAGGAGATGGATATAGTATTTGAGAGAGTGGGAAAGAGAAAGAGAGAAAGAGAGGAAGGGCGTACGAATTGCAATCGAATCCGATCGGATCGTAGTAGTATCCACTCCAATTTCCGAGCCCAATGATTCGGTCTATTGGAGCATCCGCATCGCATCAAATAGTTCGAAATCGAGTCATCTGCCTGATAACATTTAACTCTCAATCAAGATTCGTCTCCTGTCTAGGTGGTGATGTCAAAGAAGAATCATTTTCAGAACTGTGTGGTCTCATAATCATCATCCTACAAATATTATATTCAACTCTTTAATTATTTTTTTTTTTAACGAAAAGTATCTTCAATGAAGACTCAAAATTTAGAACTACTTACATTTTTATGTTTCTTTTTTTATAAGAAAACTACTAAATTACATTTCAAAATAACTTTTTCTTCAATTTATCTCATTATTTTATAAAAAGTATCAATAATAATAATAATAATAACAAATGTAAGTAATTATAAAGTGCATACTTCATTTAAATCTGATTTTTTCAATGAAATATTCGATGTGCAGCAACTCGGATTTAATATAATTGTTAATCAATGATTATTGGCTAGACGATATTATACTAAATATACATGTTGTAGATTTATATATATATATATATATATAAACAGAAACTTTTAGTAGATTATCATATATAATATGAAATAATAGAATTAACAGGAGGACAATACTATAAGAGTTTCCTATGCTGGTAGCATAGAAAGGTACGTCGTTGGGCATTAGCTGCCCCAGTTGTGACGTATTCTATTTCAAGCTGGCCTAGTTGCATTGATAATAACGACGACCACGACGATGCTTAGGATGACTACGATGTCGAAGAGGTTGGACTCGACTCGCGTGATTTCAATATCGTTTTCCCTTGAGCCACCATTCACTTCGTTTCGGTATCGTCATTCGGTTGCAATGTATTATGCGACTAGCATGCCATGTAAAATATATATATATATATATAGTTATATATACGTATGTATCGAGTCAGAGAATGCACTCGAGCGCAAAGTGCCAGAAAAAGGTCATCCTCGGTTCCGCTTTCCTTCGGGAATGCTACACACTTTCCTGCTCGTTTATTCAATCCCCTACTATTCTGCTTCCCTCCCATCTACAGACCCATTTTACCCATACCCACATCCGTACTCACACCAATCCAATCCTCTCTTCTCGACTTTGGTTGCACGATTACCGTAAAGTACGTCCCTAGCAATGCTCGATTTTTCCAACGAAACGCGAAAATCATTTACCAAGCGATTACCTTTTAACCCACTCTTTTTTTTCCTTTTTATTTTCTTTATTTCTTTTACTTCAAAGTAGTAACATTTTCTTCCCTTTTTTCTTCTTTTCAATAGGAAAGAAAAAAACTAAGAAAATCGTAGTTTTTTTAATTGAAAGATGCACGTGGTGATCGATAACAAAACATTCCTTGTTAATTTTAACGATTTTTTTTTTTAATCCTTCAAGGGAAGGTTTAAACAATTTGCTAGTTGGCCAGTAACAAATTCGTTTGCCCATTTTCTACGAAAAGGTATAAGGAAAAGTATTTCTTGTAATGTTCTAATATTAAGAATTCAGAGATAAAAGAAAAAAAAATATAATTGTAAAATGGGTCGAAAATGTAAGAGAGAGAGAGAGAGAGAGAGAGAGAGAGAGAGAGAGAGAGAGAGAGAAGTGCAAGGATTAAAACAGGAGCTTTGGACGTAATGAGAGAAGAAGAATGAAGAAGACCTGGGCGTGGAATAAATTATGAGAACGAATTGTAGTTTTCAAAGTGGTCTCCTGAACTTTTTGTATATTTTTTTTTCTTCTTCGAAAAGAAGTAGAGACAAAAAAGAAAATAGAGTGCGAAGAAGGATGAAAAAAAGGAACTAAAATGAAAAGATATGATGTAGATCGTTGAAAAAAACCCCTTGAAGAAGGCACGATATATGCAGGGAAGCATAAACGCGTCATAGCTATGAGTATCGTGACCCTGAGTGAATAAGCGAGAATATAACTCTGGCTCTCTCTTTCGTACTAGCACCTATGAGAAAAAGAGAGAGAGAGAGAAAGAGAGAGAGAGAGAGTAGGCGTTTTACACCTACGCCTACGAGAAGACTGTCGACGACATATAGGTCGCTTTACTTTTCTCTCTCTTTCTCTCACTTTTTCTCACTTTTTCCTTCTTTCATTCCTTTTGTTTGCACTCGGCCCTATTTTCTCAGCAACGCTCTCAGTCACGTTATTGTTTGAAAGGCATACGATCATCTTCTTCGCGAAGTCGCCTTTTCACAGGAAAGAGAAACGAACGAATGAACGAACGAATGAATGAATGAATGAGCGAACGATGAATTTGAGATTGGATCCCGTAGCTTTAATTATTCACGATGAATTCGTTGTATAGTTAGACATTAAGATTTTAAATTAAAATTGACTTTTGAATTATTAACAAAACTATAATACGAAAATTGTTTTAAAGTACAAAAAGATTTCAATATTTTACTCGTATTATTTTTAATTTCAAATGTTATTTTATCTGATCGTTAGATCGATATTAAACTTTTTAATAATATATTTATAATAATAAATGTGTGTATGTGTATGTTTTATAATCACATTAACTCTAAACTCGAATAATAAATTAAAGATTGTTCCTATCAATGGTCTTTACATTTTATTTGCAATTAGTCGATTTGATAAACTAATATACCTCACTACACACACATTTATATATCAAAATGTTCTTTCAGATAAATGAAAGTGCAAAAAGATAAAAAGAAAGAAATAAAAATAAAAAATGAGGCGTTGAAAGAATAGAAGAAGAAGAAGAAGAAGAAGAAGAAGGTCTGATTTTATGGATGCGTAAACTCGAGAAAAGAAAATCTTGATAATTTAGTCGTAGAAAAGTGTGGATAAAAAGTGGGGGTACAGTAAAAGAGATAAAAAAAAAAGAAAAGAAAAGAAAAAAAAGAAATAAAACGATAAGGAAAGAAAGAAGGAAAAGGGAAGTTGGTTTGCACTGTTGAGAGAGAAGGAAAAGGGGGAGAATGAAAAAGGAGAATAGAAAGAGGTCATTCTCATTCCCTATGCGCACCACGACGACGACCGTGCTACTTAGGTCACTCGAGAAAAGGGAGAGAGGAGAGGAGAGGAGTAACAGCAGCTCGCATGCGGTACGTGTTGCGGAAATTTTGATAATTCATCCAGCCTGCTACGTGATGAGGGGGGAAATGGACGTAACATACGTTTCGTGATGGCCAATGCGACGAGATCACTTGGTGGAAAAGGGCAAGAGGGTGGAAAAGGGCAAGAGCAGGAGAAGGAAGGGAAAAACACGATAAAGAAGAAGACTGAAAATGTGTGCTTTGATATTTTAAGCCTAGCCACGTATTCTCAGGAGATATAACTTCAACTTGGTACCATCTTCTTCTTCTTCTTTCTCTTTTTTTTACTTCGTGAATCGTTAATGAGCAAAGTACATCTCGAAATTCTGATCCAACTAAACCATGAACCAACTATATTCCAGCTATTTGTCCGTTTTTTCTCAACCCCCCTTTTAAAATCCCAACCAATTGACTTACCCGATTGCAATTTCGTTCGAATAGATACTCCAAAAAGATCGAATCAAATTTTCAACTATTAACGTTATTTTATATTTATACGTGGTCTATTGTTTCATTTATATCACCACTCAACTTCGTTAAATTATCAATTTCGTTATAATTTTAACGCATAACGAGAAACATAATTAATTATACCACCAAGTATGGCCTGGCATTGTGCCAAAGAAAATTTACAACCAGCAATATTTCATTAATAGGTATATATATAACATATATAGTTATCTTTCTCTCTCTCTCTCTCTCTCTCTCTCTCTCTCTCTCTCTCTCTCATGGTACTCACCACTACTCGTAAAATTATACGTGGCTTCCAAATGATAATTAACCAGATTCAAAAGAGGATACCAGGCATAGACGTATAAATCCAAATGGTTTAATTTTCATCCATCGATCAGCCATAAGTAATTTGATTTTTATAAAACGTATTGATTAATTATACGCACTAAAAACTTTTTTTCACCTTTGAATAATAAAAATCTCTTTTACAACGATTAATTACTTTTTGCAATATTACAAATATTTTTTAAATCGTATAGTATTTAAATT